TGTGTGTGTGTGTGTGTGTGTGTGTGTGTGTGTGTGTGTGCGGGGGGATATACTTTACCTTATGGGGACACAATGTCCCCACGCGTTTTTTTTTTCCCTTATGGGGACCAGTTTCCTGGAAACCTCAACTTAATAAAAAAATTGCTGACTGCAATGAAAAAACTAAAAATGCAAAAACTCTTGTATTTTGCTTGGTTAATTATGGTTATGTTTAGGGATGGGTCGGGGTTAAGGTTGTTATAGTTAACGTTAGCATTTTTCCCACAGAAATGAATGAGTGGTCTCAATAAAAATATGCGCGCGCGCGCGTGTGTGTGTGTGTGTGTGTGTGTGTGTGTGTGTGTGTGCGTATGTGTGTGTGTGTGTATCAGCGTGGTCACATACCTGCTTGTCTATCTCTGTCACCTGAAGACCTAGTGGTTCCACGTTCTTGTTGACAAAGTGGAGAATCGCCTGCATTTTGTGAAGGGGGGTGGGACAGGATGGCTGTGGGTCATTATGAACAGTGCCGGTCTAAGCCCCTGTGATGCCCTAGGCGAGCCACACTGCTTGTGCCCCCCGTCTGAGATGAAGTGGGATGGGCGTGCTAAGTCAGTGCCCCCTCAGAAGATGGTGCCCTAGGCGGCCGCCTATGTCACCTAGTGGGTTGACCTTCACTGATTCCAAGTGAACCGTGTGGCCTGTGCAACCCAATGGCTGGGGGATGAAGGGCCCACATCTCCAGTACCTTTTTCACTGTCTCCACTTTCTGTGGTTCCATTTTCAGAAGCTCATCAATGGGGTCTTCCTCTGCATGACATAATGGTGGGGGGGGGACTCCATTGTCATGACGTGCTGTTAAAACCAGGCACTTCTCCATGAGCCAGCGCAACTTACCTTTTAAATTATTTTCCGGGTCCGCTTTGGAAGCACTGAAAAGAATACAGGAATTATTATAGACAATATTCGGCATTTAACACTGTGATCTCCTCAAGGCTACTGGATATCCTGCTAGAGAGTGAGAAACAGGACCCCCCCACCCTGAGCACAACCCCGGCCCCCCGCAGGGCAGTGCGCTGCCCCCCTGTGCAACACGACTGTGAGGCAGGACGCGGCTCCAATGTCTTCATTGACTTTGCTGAAGATCTCCCAGTGAAGAGGGCCAATGTCTTCATTGACTTTGCTGAAGATCCCCCAGTGGAGAGGGCCATTGTCTTCATTGACTTTGCTGAAGATCCCCCAGTGAGGAGGGCCATTGTCTTCATTGACTTTGCTGAAGATCCCCCAGTGGAGAGGGCCATCGGCGTTGTCCTTCCGGGCGTCACCCTCACTGACAGCCTTATATGGACATAACACACATCTGCGTCGATCACAGTGGCACGCCGGAGTCTTCCTCAGACACCAGAGGAAGGCACAGATGTCACCAGCAGTTGTTACCAGCTTCTCCAGATGCAGGATTCTATCCTCACTGGATGCACTACAGTGTAACATAGCGGATGCTCTGCTCGGGCCCTCAGAACACTGCAGATGGCAGTGGGAACCGCCCACATCATCAGTGGGACACATCTGCCTTCACTTCAGTACATTTCCACCATGCAGAAAGGCAGCCAACATCCTCAAGCAAGTCACCCTGCACGATCACATCATACCAGCACTCTGCCCACAAGGTCCAGTCTCTACCCACAAACCATAACAGCTGCCTGCTAATTAATTTTTAATTAAGACGTAACCCACTGCAGAATAAACAACTAGTGCCGGCACACTGCATTTATCATCACCACTCGTGTGTGATTGTCTGCATTACGCTTATTATTGTAGCTAATTGTTGTTGTTTGGTAATGTAGTCTCGACGTTAGGTTTACAGGGACCTGCAGAAACACAAGCATAACATAAACCTGGACTCTCAATTGACATTTGAGCTGGTCTTTTACTCCACCTTGACTCTGTGATGCACTCCACCCCTTTCTCAGTTATGATTCCCATTTTGGTGACCTGTTTATTAGGATAAAAGCAGAATCCAAATCAGCATGATTTTCACCATGTGTATGACAAATTATGTGGGTCTTGCTGCATTTAGTCCTACTCGACAAAAGAACATCAACGATAGTGCTCTAATAGCTATGTCGATGGTCAAAACAATTACATTTATAACACATTTTCACCTTAAATTAATGTGAAAGGGGCAAAGTATCCAGAAAAATAGTAATAAGTCCAGGTAGGACGCTGTCATGATTGGGTGGGAGGTTTGAATGACCGAAGAGGGGGTCTAATTGGAGAAGCCGTTTTAGGGGTTGCGTTTGTGGTGAGATTTTGGGCCTACCTCCAACATCACGACCTCCACTGTTAGGTCCGATGGCAGCTCCAGCTCGGGCTGGAAGTGCTTCACCATGGCGACGAGCAGGTGCAGTGTGGCGAGTAGGTCTTTGGCCTGGATGACTGACATGGACATGGAAAGTGGTCTTCATCCTCTCTCACACAGAGTCACCAGGAAGGAAGCAGCCCCAATGAGGTCATTGTCTGTAGCAACTCTTTGTTGACAGCCACGGAAGTAGAGAACTACAGACTACCCTACTATAAGCCATCTTACCTCATTGAAATGCTATAACACCTTACCTATGAAAATCACCAGCAGAGGGCGGTAGTGAAGTCCATAACAAATCCAGATGTGGCCCCAACCGCACCTCACTAGGGTACCAGCATGTTAGGAACCCAAACCCTCAACTTCTACGACAACACTGATCTGCTGGTCAAAGCCTCTTACAGGGACAGCAGGGATCATCAGGGTATACAAATTTGGAAATTATTTTGCCGTGACTTACTCAAGCTTCTACTAATCTCTCCTAAGCCTGAGCTTTCTCTACAGATAAAACGAGGGCTTCAGTAGAATCTGCGCAAGTTACTTTCGGATTCTGCTGACACCTCAGCAGACCCTGATGGGGTGTACTGTATTATGGCCGTTCACGCTCACGTTTGACGCTCCACTTGCAGGAGGCCTCATCCTGGATCCCCAGCTTCTGGTTCACAGCTTCCAGGACAACCTTCAGTTTCAAGATCTGGGCAGCCCTTGTCACTGCGATCTCTTCCACGGTCAGCTTCACATCTGATAATCTTTCTAGAGAAGGAACAGACAAACACATCCAAACAGTGCTATTGGGTAGTAATTTACTCCGTATTGTAGTTTTCTCTGTAGTCTACTAAATGTCATCTTTGTAAATCCCAAAGAGGTCAATCTGACTGCCAGTGGGGGGGGCCACAAACAATCACTACACTCAAAATTAAACACATTCCTTATTTAGGACATGCCGAAGCCACATGTTATGCTAACCGGATAGCTAGCTACAAGCTTCCGACTACTGGCTAGCTATTTATTTAGTTCTGAGTGGGGCCACAGACAGAACACACCGCCTCTGCCTACTGCATAATTATTCATTTGCAAAAAATGTTTCTCCTGAACATAATTAATAAATGGCATATATAATGCGAGATGGTTATTCACAACCATCACTCAGCCTTTTGAATCTGGTGAGCAGTCAGGTTTAAATAATCATTAATAATATAAATAAAATGAACATTTCATTAGAGTCCAAATGTCCTCCATAGTTAGATGGTGGCTGAGGTCCCTCACCCAGGAGATGGTGGAGCACCAGCCCATCAAACAGGTCCTCCTCCAGGCTCTGAACGATGATGTGCTCCTTCTTCAGAGTGATGTTAATCCAGTTGATCAGCATCTGCCCGGAAGGGCCACAGTAAGAGAGTGACGCCTGAGCTACTCCCAGACACCAGAGCTCAGCTGTTGTCACTGAGGCCCATCAAAAGCACTCGAAATTGCCAAAATTGCCCGGCCCTCCAAAGTAAACCTTTGGGCTGAGGAGCACATCCCTTTGATCGATACCTTCCAATAAAACCCTGCATGAAATTTTAACACTCTTCCCCCGCAGAGATCGATAACCTTTCCTTCACACCAGAAACAGCCATCATTAAATATTCAGAAGGTGGCCGGCTCTTTTTTTCACACGTCTGCCTTTGTCTGGCATCGTTACTCGCCCCGGGGGCGGGGGGGGGGGGTTGCTACAGTGGAAAATACATTCAGCTCTGACTATCCTGAATAAGCTGACCCAGACGTTCCTGATAACTGCAGCCTGCGCCGTTAACCGGTCGAGGCAGACACTGTGGTCACATACCTGCTTTAGCCTCTGAAGTTCAGGGTTCTGTAGAGACGACGGCTGAAGTTTGATTATTTTTTCACCTATAAATTCACACATTTAAACAAGAATTAGCTTTCACCAATATATCCTTAGAGTGAAGTCTAAACATCTCGGCGCTGTGAGCCGGACTTCAGCGGAAGGAGAGAGTTTAGGAGGCTGTGTTGGACTGCAGATGGATGGCCAGCTTTTATTTCTCTAATCCTTACACAAATAGACACAAAAGAGGCTAACTGGGTGTTTTAATGGGGTTGTTTAGTGCTCAAAGGATGGCACAAAGGAACTGACCATGAAGGCAGCTTTTCAAAAAGGTTCCAGTCATTCAGACGTCTCACCTGGGGCCACGCCGAGGCCTTCCTCTTCCAGCTGATTCTTCCTTATCTCCTCCATTCCACCTCTGGCAGGCGACAAGTCAACTTTTCTTGAACGATCTTTGAACATCTTAACATTTTTTTGTTTTTTAATCGCACGGCTGTTTGTTCTTCCTAACGTTCCAAAGCCCTGGTACTCCGATGCAGCAAAAATATATTCCGTTCCATTTAATATTTTAAGCATGTGTATCAAGTTCATTTTCAAGTCAAGGGCTTTAAAGTTTCCCCGATTTCTGCAGCCGGAGACACTCAGGTGAACCAAGGCATGATGGGATCTGGCGCTTGTAACTGGGGAGGAAGGAACGTCGGTGCTGGTAATGGGATGGGTTCTAGCTGGGGGCCAGGAAGGCTTCATTTTAGCTGAGGCTATAATCTTAGGGTTTAATATACGTGCCCAATATTTCTTTAATTACTTGTTTAACAAGGGAATCTTTAATGAGAACTTTTCAGCTGAGCTTATCCTGAACACGTTTCCCATGATTTGATGTTTGAAATATTAAGCAGCTTAAAGCACCAGTTAGATCAAGATTACAGGAGGAAACACAGTACGGTCACGGCCTCTGTAGCACGAACACTGCCCCCATGTGGGCATTTCACAAATGACCATTTCCTCCAGCGGCCTTCAGTGCCTTTTGGAAACAATTTGTCCCTGTAATGGAGCTGGGGGTCTTTCAGAAAGACCTTCAAAACTCAGTAACTCCGATTTAAAACATTGATCGCTATCTGGGGCATGAAGAACATATCGGAGCGACTTCCTGTCATGTGTTCATGTGTATTCGGTAATCTCAACATCTGACGAGAATAAAACAGCCTTACCTTTAGTGAAACAGGTGCGCAAGGACACAGGAAACCAAACTGACTGGCCGACTCCCTCAAAAATGTCGTCCGACACACAGACAAAGCCCAAAAGTAGGACAATTCAGGTTGCTGATTGGCGCGATGCAGAGCCGTGGCTCACAAGCAAGAGCCAAGAAATGTCAAAGAGGGTTATTTAGGAAACACAGGAAGCAGAAGCAGAGGGGAGACCACATCCTCTTTACATGCTGCACATTCACCATATGTAAGGCACAGCCAGAAGACACCCCTGTGGTTCAGAGCTGTGAATTTTGACTGAGAAACCCACTTCAGAAGATTTCACTTACAAGCTAGATCTGCCACCAAAAAAATGAAACAGCCATCGTTATATAGATTATGTGATCATGGCAGATAGCTAAAGTCTATTAATTTGAACCTACTGCTAAGCATAGATTAGCATAGAAAACTGAATTTCTGCAATTGTAACGAGTTGGGACATGATCTACAGTCACGGTGAGGATGCATGTGGTTTTTGATCGACTCTAACTATGTCTGATGTTAGCAGCAATGTCCAATAAAATCTCTATGAAGAATGAAAGAAAGAATTAAAAAAAAGAATTTAAAAATGCATCAGCATGCAGTATGAAATGGAAAGCTTTCATGTAACACAAATCCAGATTGTCGTTTAAAGGTTTTATTTCATTGAACGGACGTTACGGCTGATGGAGGCCGACCCGATAGCGATCTAACCATATATGCCCATAACTTTCAGCTTAATCTGTCACAAGCATGCGTAACCATTTCCTCACACGAACAGCTCTTTGCATAAACTCTCGTTTTTGAAACAACCCAGTTACTGCGATGTGACCTTTGCAGTGTCCTATTTAAAAAACAAAATCTCTTGCTTTTCCAGAAGCTCCAGGTTAAAAACAAACATACTTTATTTAAGGCAAGTGTGATTATTTATACAAACCATAAAAGTAGGATCAGGCTAAATTACACTTAAAAAATCCAGTCACAAATAAATGGCTAAATTTTTGCATAGAAAAGCGAATTCGTCGAATCCTGCATACATGGATAACAGCCTGTTCATTTCAGTGATAAGACCTAAAATCCTCGTCGAGACGCTGGCACATTGAGAGATTAAGGATATTACACAGTTTATGTACCAGGATGGTATTGCCTGGCTTTGCTATTCTACACCAGGTCCTCAGCGACAGATCTATGCTCCCGGTGATGCAGCTGTGCCGTCACCGGCAACAGATGAGCACCGTGAAAGACGGGGAAGCATATGACCTGTGGCAGAGCAAACGGGTGGAGCAGCCAGCAAGGCCAAGCCTACGTGATCCAGGGGTGAGAGTGACACAACCCCCCCCCCCAGCCTCTAGTCCATGTTCTTGTAGCTGGTGAACAGGTTGTATAGGACCCTCAGGGTGGATTTCAGGTTCAGGTTGACCACATCTAGGCACACAGACAAACACACACTTAGTGGTTTACGAATTATATTTCCCTCACAAACAGTTGCAATGCATACTTAAATTTCACTTATTCACCAAGATAAAAGGTAATAATATCTGACAATCTGTACAAATTATACACTGTCCCCAGTAATAATATATCAAACAGTGTTTCTATCAAACCTACACCTCAAAGCCCCTCCCAGGTTTAAACCTGGTAAGACGGACTCATCTATTGTCTGTTTAAATTCCCCCATTTACATTTCTTGTGCAAGGCTTTGGGAGGCTTTGATTACACAGCTGACGATCAGGGCTGCTGGCTTTAGTGTGCGTACAAATTCCAGTATCGGAAAAAACAACCTTTGGAGGTTTAGCATAGAAATATCTGGGTACATAGAGAGAAATGACTCGATCATTGAATTCAGAGATGATACAATTAGCTTGTGGGATTCCTTTGCTCTTTCTTACTTAAGAGTATAAACCTTCTAAGCCTCAAAGTATCAAATATCAAGTGTGGATCCCCAATCACACTCAAACACTTATACCTGTATAAGTTAAATTACAGGCAAATTACATTTATTAGATGCATTTTTAACCAAGGTATGGTTAAGGATCACTAATATAAACAAATTCCCTTTGGAACTGGCATTTGGACAATTGTCTGCCATATGCTCTTCCACATTTTCTAGTACGTTCCGGTACCTTCCGGCCGAGCCTTAGGTTTTTTCAGTCCTCCGTCTTGCATGAGCTCAAAGGCAAATGACACGTTGTGGACCTAGTGGGGACAGTGATGCGCGCCAGTGTGAGATCGGGGCCCCAGCAAGAGCGGCCCAAACATGAAATTAACCAGGATCCCAAGGATCTACCTTCTGCTCAAAGTTCTCGGGCGTGAGGTAGAAGTTGTACAGGGGAACAAAGTAGCCTTCCAGTAGCCCCATTAACAGCACCAGATAGACGCCGTCTGCAAACTGGGGAGACATAGCAAGAGGGATGCAGATATATTGGGCCTGCTGATAGTTTCCTGACTGAAATATACTGCAGTCATGTGTGGAGTTCCATCTGAATCAGTACTGGGCCCTCTAGTCTTCTCTCCATGCTACATCATGCCAATATTTATGCAGAAAACTGTGCTATGCCTTCGGGGTGCAAGGTACATTCTGGGTGTGCTGTGTGCAATCTGATTGGACAGAGGGAAATCCCATCTGACTGGACAGGAAGACATTCCATCTGCGCCGTGTGCAGCCTAATTGGGCGGGAAGACATTCTGTCTGCGCCGTGTGCAGCCTAATTGGGCGGGAAGACATTGCTTTTGTGCTTTGTAAGGTCAGAAGTCTGTTTCGAAGGATCTCACCTGTGACTCAAGTTCTGTTACCTCCAGGTTGAGTTTGTTTAGGTGCTTGTTCACAAATGTGATGAGCGACTTAATAGGGGTAAAGAACACATTCAAATGTTTACTTAGCACATGCAACAGGGAAAAAATACAGAAGCCTGATATGGTTCTTTTTACCTTCTTCACAATGTTGAGTTTATCTGGCGCGTGATCTAGAAGAGTATCAAAAGCGTCTCTCTCTGGAAATTTAAAATCACAATTAATACTATAAGGAATATGACTGATGCATGATTTAAACCTGAAAATAATCACCTACAGCAAACCCAGTACATCCAGTACATGCTGTTTAAAATCTAGTACTCCTTAAATTTTAAGTATTTCAGAAACCTTTACTCACCAAATCTTCCCATCATCAACCTACAAAAAAAATACAATTACCTGAATTTATAGGTCATAGTTAAATTATATTTCGATTTAATTCAAGTAGACTTATGGTAAACAGTAGAGCATTTGCGCACTGTTGAGTCGCGGAGAGCCTTCTACAAACTTCACACTAGATGGCGCTGAAAACTCACATCTCATTAAATGAAGCAGTAATTATACTCAAAATCACAGCAATCGGCGGAAAACCGCCACTTACTCTGTGGTCGTCGTCAGCTCCTTTCTCACGTGACTGGTCTGCAGGATGCCTTCCCTCTTCTTTTGAAAACAAAAACATTCACTTCATGAACAATCCGTCCATTTACAATATGAAAGCAAATATGAGTGTTACACAATATACTGTAGCACAATACAAGAATAACACTTCTCTTGTATTTCAGTGAAACAGTGGACAAAAACAGCAGTGCAAGAGCTGGATTATGAAAAACTAGACATAAGGATCCCATTCACTGAAAGCAGGGGTCTCAAAGTGCTGGTCTATCTGGCCAGCATCGTGTTTTTTAATCATTATTAAGTCTGGCCAGCCGAATGTGGTGATAAAATTTGCCGACAAGCAAGAGGATTATCCTAATATCATTTCTAGAAGACACTGAAGTGGCCTGCTTGAACTGACAACCTCCTAGCTACTGGCCACCAGCTTATTTGAGTTTGAGACCCCTGATTTGAAGGCTTTCTAAAGCAAGTATCCTCGACTGCCCCATGGTTGTTCCAAACAGTGTTGCTGCTCAGCCCTCTACTCTTTGGGGGACCACTTAGGCCCCCACCTGGACTGATTTCCACGAGCTCCTCCCCTCACCTTAACAACCACCACCTGCACCGACACGTGTTCAGGTAGCCTGATCGCAGCCCGGAAGTGAACAGCCAGGCTCACCAGCAGGGAGGTGATAGCGACCAGATTCTTCGAGTGTATGGCTGTAGGTGAAGGAGAGAAGCAGGGGATGATAAACCAGATGCTAAGGGCAGCGTTTCCCCAACCCGGTCCTTGGGGACCCACTGACGGCCCACGATTTTGATCCATCCCAGCAGCCTGCCAGAGAGTCTACATTACCGGGAGCTGGGAGGGAGCAAAAACGTGGACTGCCTGCGGGTCCCTGAGGACCGGATCGGGGAACACTGGCTTAGAAGGATGCAATTCCAGATAAATTTAGCCTAAGGCAAAAGAAAAAATGCATCTTGAAGAATTATTGACATGGAGGCTTTCTGGTAAAAGTCATGTCAAGCTAAAATTAGCAACGTTAAATGGGTAATTATTGATCCTGTTCTAAAGTCCTTTTCAGAATAAACACAGCTCTCCTTCAACCAATCACAGCAGGGAAATCTCAACTCCGGATCAAACTGGACATTCAAAAAAAAAAAAAAAAAACAACATTAAAAATATATATTTATAGAGAGCATCAGATGTCAGAACGGCAAGCAGGTCAAAGGGTGATGGAGTAAGTGCAACGTACAGATGTGTAAGGAAAGTATGAAGGAGCAAAGGAGACTGAGGGGGGACATGATCCAGGTCTATAAGATTCTAACAGGTTTGGATGCTGTTCAACCGAATAGTTACTTCAGCATTAGTTCTAATACAAGAACTCGTGGCCATAGGTGGAAATTAGTGGGAGAACATTTCAAACTGGATTTAAGGAAGCACTTCTTTACACAGCGTGTAGTCAGAGTATGGAATAGTCTTCCTGATAACGTAGTGCAAGCTGAATCCTTGGGTTCCTTTAAATCAGAGCTAGATAAGATTTTAACAACTCTGAGCTATTAGTTAAGTTCTCCCGAAGCGAGCTCGATGGGCCGAATGGCCTCCACTCGTTTGTATAGTTCTTATGTTCTTATGAGTAATCTCTGTCTGTGGAGGGAGACTGTGAATCTCTAACTATCAAAAGAAGGAACTACAAAAGGAACAGGGTCAGACAGCTGAATCACACATGGGCGCGAACCGCCAGGGACTCACAGTCCACGTGCCACTCGCGAGGACTGCCGTGATGCTGAAGAAGTTCATTCATGGCCTCCAGAACGGTCTGAAGCTTCTGTTTCTGCCCAATCTCCGACTGCGTCACCTCAGCCACGTTCAGCTTCTGCCCAGAAAGCTTCTCTAGGGGGGGGGAAGGGGGAAGTGCAGACCGAGAATTAGCATGTAGCTTAAAGCTAACAGACCCTAGAGAGGCAAAAGCGCTTTCAGACTTAAGGACCATATCAGACTTGGAAGTGACACTACAAATTTACCCTTGGATTTTAGCAGAAATCAAGCGCATAATGAAAGTGAATTTAAATCCTTGAGGATTACGTTTCTAATACGTATTACTGCACAAAGGCAGTTCAGTTCACAAGAGTTCGTAACTGTACTTCAGAATAATTAACCTTATTTGATCAGAAATTGTGAGCAAGACAACTTCATGCACCTTTGGGCTTTGGCAAAATATAGCTGACAGTGCGTTAATCATTGCATTAGTGATTCAGTTTTTTTTTTTTTTTTTTTTAACTATTTCTGTTGAACATCCCACAGCAGATACACTCTTACCAAACAACTTCTGGAGCACCTGTCCATCATAGAGGTCTTCTTCAAGGTCCTTCACAATAATCCTTTCCTCCTCCAGCTCATTATTAATCCAGTCGATCAGAACCTGGGAAGAGGAACATCTACGTTTGGCCGAAGCTTTTATCCCAAATGTCCTCCATCCCTAGACATTTACAGATAACGCTTCAAGTCGGTACGCCTGTACTTCCTCTTGTTGAGTTTTATCCTTCCTCTCGTGGGTCAACTAGTATTCCTCAACCCTTACACAAGCATCATGGGAATTCTGGGAGGGGGAAGGAGAGTGAAACATACCCTCTGTAGATCTTTGAACTTTGGGTCCTCCCTAGAAGTGGGATCCAGCATGGTTCTCTCGGCGTTCTCCTCTGTGAAGAGACTCCTTGCATGAGGGAGGGGAGGACACAGGAGGAGCAGACACAGTCCGACCAGGGGGGAGAGCAGACACAGTCCGACCAGGGGGGAGAGCAGACACAGTCCGACCAGGGGGGAGAGCACACACTCCAACACACGGGTCAAGCAATCACATGATCACATGGGTTCCACAGTTCTCCATTCTTTTATTAGTAAGGGTTCAGTTTAAAGATGATTCAGTGCTAATTAGGAAAAGCTGGGAGGTATGCTGCCATCTTTCACTTCTCATTATGCTCCATTTATCACTTAAAACTGATTGGTTTTTCAATAAAATGCAAGAACTGTGTCAGCTAAAGGCCAAGCATACTGGACCACTGGGCTGAACAGGATGGGCCACCACAGCGATTCTCCAGGGATGAGTAAAGTTACCCAGCAGCGTGTCCTCAGGGTGGAGGTCTGTGCCGGAGGGGAGCATGGGGGTGTTGATGGCATGTTTTCCTTCCTCGTGGAGGCTATTCACTGCACGGGGACCACAGAGAGAGAAGGGAAGTCAGCACATGTCCACGGGGAACGGGCTACTAGCTAGGACCAAGCTAGCCTGGAACACAGTCCTTTAAGGCACGTAGCACTACAATCCTCATGGGAACAAGACTTAAGCATTGGCAGAACCTTCCCCAACCCGCAGAACATTCACGGGCCATTCGCCCAATCAAATACCACCATATCCAAATACAAATCCAGCAAGACCACCATAGCACTTAGAACTGGGTGGACCCTCCAAACTTCCTGTCGGTCATGATGGTAACTTACAGATGAAAGTCACAGTTACACCCTATAGATTCCACACAGCACTGACATGAAGTCATCAGTAGACCCCGAATACCACAAGGATGTTACACATCTTACCCCAAATGGAGCTATTCATGTCTGCAGAGGACAGATACATAGAGAGAAAAAAAAAATACAAACATACAACATAAAAAGACAAAAGAGCGCAGAGCCGTTGAGCAATGTATTAATCAGCCTGGAGATCAGCTCTTCCTGTGAAACAGCATCTCATCACAAATAGTGCTACTTCCTTCCACCCCGCCCCCCCCCCAAAGCCAAAAACGGACCATACAAACATAGGTGTAATAGCAACAAGAAAAAAAACACAACAATGATCTGTATAATATACCCAAAATACCCAAAGCCAGGGCAGTCTCACAGCCAGGTACATCTCACATCGCATCCCCCCATAAAAAAACTACCTTGTTTCCTGCGCTTGGTCCCACAGAGTAAGCCGGCCATGTCCTCGGGACTCGGCACGGTGACAGCCAGCTCTGAGCAGACTGGGGCTGGGAGTCAGACAGCCCTGCATCTATCTAGATCGAGGGGGAGGGGTGGCAGCGGCACGGGATGCCGGGCAACCGTTGGTTGGACGTCACATATTCCTGCGCCGCCCCCCTTCCCAATCCAATTATAAAGGGGGCAGGGAGGGCGGGACACCGCTTTGATCCAGCTGCACCCCAACAAAGATGTTAATGAGCTGAGAAGTGACCAATAGGAGGGTGGGACTGTGGACAGCAGGCAGATGTACCTAACAGGCATTTAAGCGTGCAGTCAGCTTGGTGTCTCCATACGTCACACGAGCTGCCTGTTTAAACCTGAACATATGACCTGGTGGTTTGGGGCATTTTCTGTTATTCTTTAAAGCCCACAGAGTGTTACTCTTCAGGAGAGAGATCAGTCCCTACAGATACGGTTCTGCCACAGGGTTTGACTGCCCCATTCTGTGCCCGTTCCGGCTTCTGCCAGCCGCCCAGCTGAGATGCGTTTTTCTTGCATTCACAGCTACTTCCTCTTGCTTCCTAATTATATTAATTGAATTGCAAATCTTCCCAGAGCCGCAAGATCGGTTTCCTGCCAAGTTGTTTGTATTTTTTTATGCACCAGTGGTGGATGAGGAGTGGCGACATGATGCTGTATCCTGGCTCCCGGCCGCTTAGGCAGGCAAACGTAAGATAATGGCTGACATAAGCCCGCACACGCACACACACACACGCACACACACGCACACACACAAGTTGTGTAATCATATCTTTTTGGCATTTTTAGTTTTTTGATTGCAATGACAGATCTTTGTGAGGACCTGAATATTAGTCCCAACAATGTAAACATAACAGGTTTTTATCACATTGTGGGGTACATTTGGTCCCCACAATGTAATATAAGCATAATCCACAGACACACACACACACACACACACAGATAGCTGGCCAAACAGCCTGTATTGCATCATGCAGACACGAACGCTACCTCCCCATCATGATGGCTCAACTCCACAGAGACCGGCATCCGGAGAATGCATGTGCTGTCAGTGACGACTGCACAGGTGGGCTGCGACCTGCCGTCAGTGACGACTGCACAGGTGGGCTGCGACCTGCTGATACGCATGTGTCACAGAATCACAGGACTGACACTGAGACGACCCTGGACCACTTGGGGACATCGACAGTTATCTTGGGCCTTTTCAGTTAATACAAAGACCTTAGCTACCTTTTAGCATGTGCAATATTTCTTAATTACATTGCTGAAATGTGCAGTATTTTCGTATTTATTGTGAAACTGAATCACAAGGAGAGGCATACCTCTAACATGACACTATTTAAATACTTTTTGTTGTTTTCTAATTTTTATGTTTTTATTCTGTACACCTCTTTTATATCACATTTTATATTCTATTTACTTTTTTATGTTGTTTTCTGTTTATTCATCCATCCATCCATTTTCTGTAGCCACCTGTCTAGTTTGGGGTTGGGGGGCCCGGAGCCCATTCCGGTGTGTATTCTGTTTATTTTATATTCCTTCATCTATATTTTTCTATATTTGTAACCTTCCTGACTTTTTCTGTTTCTTGTGCTGACAAGGATAGTCTCCCAATTTCATTGTACCTTGTGCAATGACGATAAAGGGGTGCATTCACTCACTCTCCTACCCGCGTAACGTAGGTACCCTTATGAGGGTGCAAACATATTTGTAAAGGCCAGTGCACAGAGTAGACGAACTGGACTCCTTATAATTGAAAATATGGTTCTCCTTGTAATTATAATGCCTCATTTTTCAGCTCATATAAGCATTAACCACAATGAAAAGTGAGCCTGCTCAGTGAAAGAGACACATCTGATAAGAAATCAAAGGGATTATCGTGAATGTAACGTCTATGCTGAAAACTTCTGTGCATTTTCGAATGTTTGGATATCGTAATTTGGCTGGTTCCTGGCTGGCTTCTTATTTCTGTAGAGTGAAGTGTAGCGTACAGAAAGAGCGCATATTAAAGACCGGACGTCACTTATACTGAGTAGGGAAGAGAAAGACTCACTATTAGTGATCAGAAGCAGACGACACTGCCCAAGAGGTTTCTCAGCTTAATAAAATTGAGTTGATTTAGACATCAAACCAGATACTAGTAACACTTTCAAATATGTTATAGCTACTTAGTTTTATTGAAATTTAAATAAAGAAAGAGAAAACGGTATGTGGGATATACTTAATAAGGGAAAAAAACATTTCACTTATGAAGGATGGAGTAGATTCTTCAGGATCATAGCTTGCAAAAACAAAGTGCAGGACACCATTCCATTCATGCAGGTAGACACTTCTCCAAAAGACAGTGCCAGACAGCCAATGGGAGCTTCAGAATATCAGAACAGCATCATACAAACTGACCTACTAGCATATAAAACAGACAAGCTCCACTCATCTGTGCATTGGTCTGATAACTTTGTGTGGCAGCCTTGAACTTTTAACAGTATTTTTTTTCCCCAAAAGGTTGTTAGTCAATACCTACATTCAAGCCTGTCATAGTTAGAAAACACCCTGAACTTACTTGTCAGAAGGTCCCCGATGAAGCGAATATGATCAGTGATAGAGTGTCTTTCAAGCCTTCCCTTAAACTGAAGGGATCTGTGATCTTTGTCTCAAGGCGTTTCAGTAAAATGACTTGCATATTAATGCAACAGCCTTTCTCATACTTTAAAAGTGTCACTTCCCTAATACAGGGTGGGGATGCAATGCCTGTTCCCTTATCTTATCTGGACTATAGGTGACACCTAATATTAATCTTCCCATACAATAAGGAATAACCACAGACTCTACACCTCCAGATGTCCTCGGCAGGGTTGAGCAACTGCAATGTGTCATACAACATCTCAACGAAATTTTCTCCAAATAGCATATGAGTCACAAGCGATGAGGGACAACTATAAATGCAAAGCTGATTCTGTATGACCACATATGAATCACCTGCGTTTAATGACCTCATTACTACAGTTGCTGTGTCCATCTTGAAATGACAAACAACACACATTCAGCTGTGCAAATGGTTCAAATGTAACAGATGGAGAGTGCTATTGGAATTAAAGAAGTGTACGAAAACTATATAAGTTTAAGAGCGCCGCATTTTGTGACACGTTTGCAGCGGGACAATTATACTAAATACACCTTGAGTATAACCTTATAGATTATGTGTAATTATGTCACGCAAGTGTAAGTGATAATCAAGGCAAACACAAACGGCGGCTACAGCCTCGTCCGCAGTGGAATTCCTCTGTGCTCCTCATTTAGACATCGGCACACAAACACACACAGGTGCCAAATCCCGCAGCTGTTCATACAGGGACCGCTGAGTTACGGGTGGCTTTTAAATAGACACAAAAAAGTCATTTGAATGTCTGAAAATGTATTGTAGTTATCTTAAAAAAAACAATTGAAGGATGTCCTTAAACCTTTTAGAAAAAAACAGCCACTGGGTAACATGATCCTCTTAAAATGTATCTAGATAACTTTGCATTCCTAATAAGAGTGACCTCCCTCATCGTTTAAGGCACCAAAAGTAAAGCTACTCTGACCTTAAATTATGTTCCCCCTCCGACAGTTCTATCCCCCTGCCCTGGCTTCCCATTTACAGCATTTCCTTCAAATTTGAGCTATTACTGCGATATAATTAGTGCAATTCAAAACCTTCCCTTGAACAATAGACGCAGGAGAGAAGCTGCAAATCGGGATCCTGCATGCGGTGATGTAATCATAACCGAAAGAACTAACCCAGCGAAGCAGGAACAAAGTGCGCTAATATACATTTTAGGATCCTTTAAGAGTTTAATTATAGACATTAATTGCAGTCGCACTGTACACATGCGCTTTGTCATCCCACATAAAATACAATTACAATGGGAAATTACAATGGAAATTAATTATATAAATCGGTACTGCAGCACCATGGACAGTAGCTAATAGTTCGTAGTCATGTTCTGATTTTAATTTTGGCCAGAAAACGATCAGTTACCTTCTTTAACTTTTTTCTTGCGGACCAGCGTGCCACCCAGTTTGCCGAGAAAGGACTCGTCCTTCTTCATCTTGCCGTGCTGCAGCGTTGATGATCTGATCGGGGGTGTAGCCATCTTCGCTGGGATGCTGCTGGTCTTCACAGCTGTTTGAGTCCACCGAGATCCCCAATCCTGTCTCTCCCCATGCAGCTCAAGGGAGACCCTTTTTGGCAGCCGGTAGGAGTAGGATGTTTCCGGTGGGGGAAAGAGTTCAGGACGCAAACCGTCGCGCACGAAACGCGCTTGAGTGTGAAATCACTTCGGTTATCCAGCACCGGTCACCGGCTGAATAGGCGGAGAGTGCTTCCTCTCTGCCCCCGCCGCGCCCGTCAATGGCTGGATGTCTGTCGGGGGTAAATCACCGCACCCTAAAAGGATCCTGAATACGCCTACTTCTCGGTCGGATGTAAAAGCAACCGTGAACCACGTGGGTCAGCATAAAGGTCAGCCCTAATCACACCAAAACTAAGTCATACGAAATCAAATCATTGTCATGACTTGAAACCCGAGGACAATCACATGTTGAGCATTATTTGTTTTCACCTCATCACATGAAAGCCTTTTAATCGCTGGTATGTATTCACAGTGCCTCTGACGGCATTTTACCAAATTACATCTGCATTCTCCCCTGTGGTCGGCTTTATTGATCTTATTGGTTTGCGTTAAGAAGGATTTTATTGCGCTTCTCAGTTTTCACTGGATTTCCCCAGTGATACGTTAAGGTCAAATCCTTAACCGCCAAAGCTCCCTTCAACCCCACGTTTTGAAACAGTAAATATTCCAGTAGTGGTAACACATGAAGCAATAAGAGATAGAAACTGAGCAGTGATTTTATTATCAAATAACCTTTGGCACAAAGTTAAGAGGAATCGTGGCAACCAGTGAGCATGAATCTGTATTAATAAGGCACATAAATTCCTTTGGTTAAATAAAGAAACCCATCACAGGGTTGCCAACTCTCAGACATCTGGTGACACTCACTCTCTCAGACTCTCACTCATGCAAAAACTCTTACTGCAAATCTATTTTATTTCAATATAAAACTAAAACTAGCTAAATCAAGAGGCTTGTGGCAGTTTGCAAACCCTACAGACTATTCCCAAAGAAATAAAGCTTACATACATGTAAATACGTGCGTGCAGACTTGACTAAAGTGGTGAACTTTTGCGTCCGGTTTTGTCCCATATGTCAATGTTGACTTGATTATTGATTATACTTTGATTATTATGGGGGAGGCCAAAGACACTGCATAACATAAGATACAGTATCACACACGTCTAATTAACCGTATTTAATGGCAACACAATCGGTTCTTGCCACATGCTGCACACATGGTAAAACATGTCCGCTAACGTCCACTACACCTGCTTCGGATTCCTCAATAAATTTTAGTAAGCCTCTTGTGGGACATAAAGATTGGGCTTTACTCTGTAAATACAGTCATCCATTGACTTGCATCCTCTTTTTCCATGGTGAACACGGGGCTGTGCTCTATAGATGAAGAGGACCGTTTTCAGTTCTTCAGGGGTCCACTTCCTCCTTCCGCTGCTTAAAGAGAGAAACCTCTATTATTATGTCATTATGTCTGACTCCCGAGGTCATTAGGTCATCTTGATTAATAAGACAAACACCAGTCATTATGTCATTACTTCAAGGCACTCAGGTTCCCTCGGGAGGTTTTGACCTCTCGTCTGTAACAGGCCCCACTGTGTCTCCAGCTTCAGTCTCAGTTTCTCAACTGCATCCATGCTTTCTGGGAGAGGGTCCCCCAGGGTCCCCAGGGACTGGGCCGGCTCCCCGAGCAAAGAGGCAGCTGTAGTCCTTATGGTCTCCTCCTCATCCCCCTGCTGAATAAAAACGGCATCACTCAACAACCTCCCCACGGTAACTGAGCTGGAGAACATACCTCCTCTACCATTTGAGACTCACGCACCTGCATGAGCACCAGCATTTGTCCTTCGGCAAGTCCCTGCAGCAGGCTGGTCAGCTGGGTCCAGGCTGCCACCCCCATTCCGCTGCCTTTGCCCATGGCCACCAGTATCAGACCAGGGTCATACCCATAAGCCAGAGGTAGCAGGAGGGTCAGCACTGCATGAAGGAACCCTGGAACGTCACCGAAGCCCTGCAGAAGGACACAGGGACTTCCTGTGAGAATCTGCTTACCTGCTCTCATCTGTTTCCAACAGCATATATCCTGACTGGCCTACCTTCATCATCACAGGAATATGATGTTTGGACTTGGGCTCATGAGGCTCTGTACTGCAGAACTGTACCAACATGAGTTTACTGGGGTGTAAAGAGGAAACGCTTCATGAAAATCAGTCTCCTCACTTCCATCATCATTAAAAACATGCATCATTCATTCAAGATACCGGAAAAGCTAATTGAGTGTGTCGGCCCTTCACTGCTGGAGGATGAGAGCCACAAACTGAGGCTGAGTGGAGGATTGCATCAAGCCTTTGAACCAGACGCATGTGAGCATACAGGGCAGCCTCACCCATCCACCCGGACCTCCACTGGTGCCTCGTTCCCCAGGAAAACCAACAGCACTCTGCAACAGCAACAAGAGGGTACCGTGTGACTTGTGTGCCATCTCAGGTCAGCAGAATCTAAAGCATTCCTACAATCTCCCATTATCTTATCTACAAAAGGCCCTTTGCCTTCTGACAGTCACGAAGAGCACTGCTTTTTTTGCAGTAAAACTACAGCAAAACCCTGCAGGCTTGAAGTCCCCTTCGAAGCTGCATTACTTTTCTGGTCGAATCCCGTAACTCTTAAAAGCTGCAGCTGCTTCGAGTACCTGTCCGTGAGAGAGATTAGGGCATGCTGGACGGCAAAGGCCAGGGTCTTGCGGAGGTCGGGCACCAAAAGCAGGCCATTACGCACCTGCGAGCATGTGGAAAAGCCAGCCAAGTATACAGGTTAGACAGGCACACAACAAGAAGTCCGTTACTGGTCAAGACATTAGCCAGCACACAGCAGGACAACCGAGACTAGAATAGCACATTATCATGTAAGACCAGAGATAAAATGCTGTATCAATCTTCTACAACCATTCATGCAGACATACACTGGCCAAAAGAATGTGGACACCAAAGTATCGCCCATTGTTGGGTATGATTACGAACAGTCATGTGATCTCCTGTTCCCAGAGGTAATGAAAAACCTTAGCAGAACAGTACAGGCTATTATAACAGCAATAGGACTACCAACTTCATATTAATACCTAGCTGTAGAATAGTCTTCCAACGGATGTGTGAAATTCAGGCTTACTCTCAATATTCTTAACTAAACCTTAATTTTTTTTAAAAACTTTTTTTAAACTTGTGTGAAAATGGAATGTTGGACAAGCTGGTGTTCACATACTTTTGGCCATATACTGTATGCACTATTTTCATATTTACAGTCTTGCTTCACCTGTTTTTTCTCAATTTTATCCACAAGAGACTGCACGTTTCCCAGAGACTGTAGAAGATCCTTGTTCTTCAGGTCTTGGATGTTCAAATTCCTAGTGAGAAAGTGAAGTTCAAGGTGGCTGCCCTGGCATATACTGAATGCTGAATGACTCTTATCACGGGTAATTAATGTGCTGAGAGAGAGAGAAATTCCTGTAGATAAATCAGACCCGAGTTTTTCAGCAGCCTCTTCTGGTGTCAGCAAGGTCTCAGTCACACGCTTGCAGCTCTCAGGAACAGAGTCCTCCAGGCCAGCAGGCAGCGCAACTGCAGTCCGAGTTGGGGGGGGAAGCCGGAGCAGAGGCTCTGGCCATGAAATCTCCTTGGTCTCCTCCCCTGGCTGCAGGCCATCCTGTCCAGCTTCTAGCTTAGAGTGCTTGGTGTGAGGCTCATAACCTGGCTTAGCAGCTATGGAGATCAACACTGATAAGCAGAAGAACGTGGAAGCTTGGACACAGAGTTAGGTAATTCAGGTCCAGAGAGTACAAATCCAGACCATGATTTTGTTTCAACTAACCAGCTGAGCATAAAGAGCCACAGTCACAGAGTACGCAGCTGGTTGGTTGAAACAAAATCATGGTCTGGATTTGTACTCTCTGGACCTGAATTACCTAACTCTGCTTAGAGGTATGGATTCAGTTATCTGCTGGTATACAGATGTCACACAGATTATAAAGAAAAATTAAATGAACAGAAAATCACAAATTAAGCAGAGCCCAAAGGACCAAAAGCCAACAAATAAAACGAGATTTAAAGTATCATAATGATGGGGGTGGGGATAACCTAACATGAGCAGGCAGGTTATTCCACAGTCTAGGAGAAGCAACAACAAAAGTCAGCAGATTAAGCTGGTTACTTGAGCTAAGAAGGCAGGCACTAGAATTGATGTTGGGCATATCAACAATATACGAAGATGTGCACCTTCCCAGACAGTCCAAGTCAATAATCAATGCAAGAAGCTTCAAAGAACAATGAAGATATTACCGTGCTGTAGCTGGGAATATGGTTCGGGAAGGACTTACCCACATGTTTGAAACAGGCCCAGTACTGCTGATGTACACTTCGGACAGACTGAATAGATTCCAGAGCACTGTGGGAGCAGGTTTTAAGTGTTATTTTAGCAGAGTAATGCATTCTTGAATAATTAATTGCCATAACCTATAATTATGAATAACATAGCTTTGTTTTTCAGCCCTTCTGGTTTCCAGCATTTGATTGGATGTTTAAAAACCTTCCTCTGTGACAAAATGCACCCCAGAAAGTAGTGCCTCAAGCGAGTGAGATGCCCCAGTGGTAGACAGGCCAACACACCTCTTAGAGGGGCTGCTCAGCCCCGAAATGCGAGAGACGGGGTCTCCCAGTAGAGTTTGTACAGTCTGACACACCGACTGGGGAAGAGACGTCAGGTTGTAGCCACCCTAAGACAATAGCCAAAATCATAAGTAAGGTTAAGAAGACATGGGGCGTGATATTGCTGGAATGGGGAGGGTCTCACCTCCAAGACGGCACAGAGCCGTCCCCCAGCCAGTGACATCAGCAGGTGAGTGAGGTGGCCAAAGATCTCAGGCGTGGCGCACATTTCACCCTTGGGAGGACACACGTTAAGAAGGGTTTAATATCACTGCACTTCACTGGTACACATCCTCCTATTTGTGACTTACTCACTATGTTCCTTACGACAGTGTTTTTCCCAACCCGGTCCTCGGGTACCTACAGACGGTCCACGTTTTCCCTCCCTCCCACATATATAGCACTGAGGCGACACTGACAGTCAGTACCAGGAGCTGGGAGGGAGCAAACCCTGGACTCTCTGCAGGACCCGAGGACCGGATTGAGAAACACTGCCTTACACCCTTCCAGAATTACCTCTGGGTCCCCAATGGCAGAATCAAACCCCGCAGACAGCATGACCAATTCTGGGTTAAACTGAAAAAGAAGAGAATATCAGCACCATATCATATATAAAAATGCCGTAATTTGTCACGGCTTCGTGTACAATCCCACCAACCCACCCCCACAACTACCTTTTCACCAGACTGTGGTCTGGAAAGCGTGTCTGAGCTGAGAGATTCAGACCTTCAACCATTAAGCCATCAGATTAATAAATACCCCTACCGCAGTCATAATATGTATTGATCCTTACTTATACACTACTTTATTTGAGCCACGTTACACGTTTTATATTGGTATTTTATTCCTGTTTTGTTCTTTATTGATTTTATCATTTCTTTATTACGGTGTAATTTACCACTTTTAATTGCCCTGGTTATACCTTGCATGTGACAAATAAAAACATGCTCAAATCCTTATCCTGCTAGTACTGACTTGTCTCAGTTGTTATTTAATTGGTTAGTTGGTGTAGTGTTGGAAAGATGAGTAGTAAGTACCGGAGAACCAAAAATATGGCAATAACTCGGTCAGGAGAAGCAGACTGATCAGTCTTACCCACCTCATAGGCCACAGGGAGAAGAACATGAAAGAACACAGAGAGGTAATCATTGCTGTCCATTCCAACCTGGGACGAGGGAGGACAGAAGCGGTCAGCAGGTGGTCATGTGACCAGCAGACAGTGACATCTATTAACTTCAGTTGGCCAGACCTTATTCCACGGCAGGTTAATGTTGAAGCCGGCCCCTCTGCCCTTGCCCACACTGTCATAGTCAGACTCTCGTAAGTTCGGCCAGAACTTCTGATGCTCGTAGCGGTGCCAGGAGAAGTAGAGCACACTGCAAGGTGACGAGAGATCACCAAAGGGACGTGTAGGTCACAGGCCATACTAGGACCCATTACAAGGGGGAAAAACAAAGACTCACTCCGGGTCTTCCTCAAAGCAGTACTGTAGACCTTGTCCATGATGTATATCCCAGTCCACTATGAGCACCCTGGGGGAGACACAGATACCGATTTTCATATTAGATTCAACCAAACATGAAACGAATACCGTTACGACACCAATTTACATCAGGGGAGGTGAACCTCATCCATGGAGGACCCCTGCGGGTGCAGGTTTCAGGGTTGGCCTCTCAATCGGCCGTTAATAAAGCAGTGGTTCGCAACTCCAGTCATTGGCTGACTGTGAGGTCGTCCCAAAAACCCCACACTAGTGGCCTGTACTACAAAGCGGGGTTACTGGCTTATCGGGGTAACTTGTCTGATTTAAGGTAGTCTGGGCAAAATGTAAGTGAACGAATATGAAGTACATTTAAACTGTGGTACCTTAAATCTGACAAGTTACACCGATAAGCTCAGTAACCCTGCTTCGTAGTACAGGCCACTGGTCTACATGGATCAGGTTCACCACCCCTGATTTACACCTTAACTCGGTCGTTAGTGGCCACAACCTGCGGACATTGTATTTCTTCTTGGCATAGAGGGTGCCGATGGCCACGTTGTTGAATATGCAGAAGCCATTTGCAGTACTACGCTGACTGTGATGCCCTGGAGGTCTTTGGGGGAATGGAGAGAGGGAAAAGGGATAACCCATTAATACAATATCACATCCACTCACGTGGCAGTTTTACTGAAGCTTCTCATATGAAGAAAAGAAAAACAGACTCACCTGACTAAAGCTATGCCATTCCTCACCTTCCCGGTCATTACGGCATCCACCAGATTTAGGGTGGCACCAATAGCCAGCTTAGCACAGTGGTAGATGTTCTGTAATCAAATAGCACTAGTGAGAGATCCAAGGCCATAGCCATTGAGTTAACATCTGAATATTGGAGGCGACATGTTATAAAATACGGCTTTGCAAAGATCATACATTTCTCCTCAGAATCAAGTTAGAACTTGTCTTCCACAGTACTTACTGGATGGAAGTAAACATCTCCATATGGCACAGCGAAAGTCATCAGCTCCTCCAAGGTCATGTAAGGAGTTTTCTTCACAGCCTCCAGGTATTCAGTGCTGTGAGGTAAACGGTAAGCCTTAAGCAGCACAGCATGCACGCAGGTTTGTGATCGTGCAGTCATCGGTAGATGCTTTACCTGTGTGCCAGAAGAATATCTTCATCCGTGGCTTCGCGGACGGGCAGCGCGACGCAGCGCTGAGTTAAACCCGCTTTCTGCAGCGCTGCATAGCTCACCACCAGTCGCTCCGGAACCTCAATCTTACATATCGGACTGAGGAATACACAGCATATCAGGGGAAGACCGGTTAGACGTGATGAAGCCCTCCATCAAAATTTCACTCACAGCGCAAAACGTAATAAACAGTGACTCACTCCACCCAAAGAAGTTTGTAGCGAGTCATTTCTTCATCATAAATAAGTGCAGTTCCAGAAGCCATCTCCTACAATTTCAGCAACCTGGCCAATAAAAAAGCACGAACCAATAGGGACAAAATAATTCCAGAATTGTTATTCACTTCATTTGTTTCTTTACTGAATAATATAAAAGTTACTTACTTTCTATAAAGTTTTATTCGCTTAGAAATGATAAAACTGCAGTCCCACGTCACTAAAGCTCATCAGACAATGATCAGACGTTTAATCAGAATTATCCACAAAATACTCAGACTTCGCGTCTCACGCGATTTGTATCACTCACATATCAACAAACGAGGAAATGGTAAACTCTTTCATTCGGCGCGGACATTTTGGTTGGTCATGTGATATGGCCTCTGCATCTCATTGGCTAAAGGTTACTTCCGGATCTCTTTAAACCAATAAGCTGCGATTTTTACTACCTTCCAAACACGTGGCTTTAGTTTGTTTGGCTGGGGGTGGGTGTTGGCTTTAGTGTTGCCGTGACAACCACCCCGCTTTGCTTGCGGCTAGGGTGATGTTTGTGTACTGACTTTGTCGGTTGAGAAAGTAACTAATTTATAAAACGTAACCATTAAATTGTTCGGGGAAATGGATCCCTTGCCTGCAACATTTTTTGGCAAACTTGACAAAAAGAACCCTGTCATTTCGTCCTTTAACGTCGAGATAAAGGAGTTTATGTTGTACATGAGGCGGATCACCAATTCACCCAGAGTCGACTACCGCTCTTATGCAAAAGGGTAGGTAAACATCAGCGACCACCACATATGCCCATTTATAAGGAAGTAGATTAACTTACATGAATGGTCGTGTTCATTTTGACCTTTTATGCGTTTGTAGGTCAAAAAAGCTTTTTGAAATATGGAACAAGTATAAAGTCCGTCTTCCTGCATATTACTACGAAAAGCAGTTGTTGCAAATTGCTGATTTTCTCTCTGAAATTAAGGTGGGTATTAACTGTTAGTTTTTTTGTTAATAAATAAAATTCAGAGGGTTTCTCTTCTGTTCCACACGATCCCGGCCATCAGTCACCCACAGTTCCCCCTTTGCAGATGCACCTTCTAGCAGGTGTCGTGTAACCCTTTTCCTCAGCTGTACAGACTGGCGCTTTGGCAGGGCTATGGCCGTTTCCTACACGAGTGCTGCGCTTTTAGCATGGAGGACATCAGAGATGTGGACCAGTTCGTGAGCACTTTCTTCCCAGAAGGCTTTGAGACCGAGAAGGCAGGGCTCGTGGTAAAGAACAGCACCTTGCTGTACACTGATACCTACGTCATACTTGTCTAATGCATTCAACCCTCTATCGCAGCCACTTGCTATAATGTTGGTAGTTTCCTATTAGTATGTGTGTATGTTTGTCAGTTCTATGGCAATTAAGGTGTGTCTGAATGCATATGTGTTTTTTTCAGTTGTTTCTGCCTTTTCTTGCCTGTGTGGCAATAAAAATAATTACATAATAGTAACTGCTTAACTAAGTCCAACCAAAGATAGAAAAAATATCAATATTATGCCTGCATGTGCCAGTCGGGTGATTCTATGATTTTTTTAAGGTGGAAGGCATAATTAACTAACAGGGGGTGGGGGCTCTCTGGAGTTTTCAGCTGGGGCTGGCTTGTGCATCAGTCATATCTGCATGTGTCCGCTTGGCGCTGCCAGTTCCGTGCCCTGCAGGGTCATTGCTCGTGTGCCTTCCAACTGGAGAGGGAGCAGGAGGGATGGTGTGGCCCGGGCGAGCCTCTGAAGCTGCGGCACATCCTGACTTTCCTGCAGACGTTCATGGAGGCTGTGCTGCCTCATGACAGCCTTTGCTGGCTGCTCTACAACGGTACACCCACGCACCGAGACCTCTTACAGCACAGCTTGTATAGCCGAGAGCATACTGACACAAGAAGGTGTGTTGAGTCCCTGAAGCAGTAATCTGAGTATTTGGGAGCAGCATGCGGATCATTTGTAAATATAGCAGAGAATATGAGAAGAATACATCTCCAAATACTTCTTATTATTTTCAAATTTAATTTGCGGCGCCAGCACTAAGTAGTGAGAAGACGCTACGTCATTTTTGTTTTCTGTGGAAAACGATTAATCCGCGGATCACACTGAATAATGAATTAAAAACGTGTCGCTGAATATAATTGTCTTGCAGGCAGGTACTTTGAGACCTCTGGACTGTGTGTTATGTTTGCATATTCTCTGTTTGTAGGATCATTGCATATTTACAACATCTGCAGGAACCTGATGTCCATGAGTCACACAGAACAGGTAAAAACCTGTCACTAAAATAATAACAAGGGAAAAAGGCAGACTAACACTGCACACGGAAGGAGGGAAAAAGGCAGACTGACACTGCACACGGAAGAAGGGAAAAAGGCAGACTAACACTGCACACGGAAGGAGGGAAAAAGGCAGACTGACACTGCACACGGAAGAAGGGAAAAAGGCAGACTAACACTGCACACGGAAGGA